AAAGCTACCTAATGCAGAAATTCCACCATAACTCTCAATTAGTGCATTAGCATCCTCCTGGTATAAATTTTTTGAGCAAGACCAGCTTGTTACAGCTGAGTTTGCACTATAAGAACATAGTGGTTTATCTATTTTCTTGCTATGCTCACATTCAAAATTAATTACACCAGTCATAAGACGCTTTTTACTTGTGCTGCCACCATCATTTCCAAATAAAACCTTCGTAAAAATTCCGTGCTCATCATGTGCCCCCTCAAAACCATCAGCATGTAGATCTTCTGTATCTGCACTAAATGACATCTCTGCTAAATGCAATCCAACTTTGCACAACCTACAAGCGAGCAATAATAAAAGACATGAGACATTCCTCCAGAAAAAATGTTTCAGATTCAAACCATCTATCAATTGGTAACAAAAGAGCAAAATGAAGATCTATAAAGAAGAAAACTAATACATAGTTAATTATTATTTAACTCTTTTTTTTACAAATTTGTATTTAACTCTTTCCTATATCACATATGGGCTGTTAATAAGTTTGTGTCAAACAAAAAGGTTTCCAAAAATGTGAACTTTATATTATCCTAATATAAACATGCACCAACTATATACTCTATCTTGTTGCTTTAAGCCTTCTTTCCTTCCTTCTCGCAAAGTCGCATGAAAAATAGAATGATAAAGCGACGAAACTTCTTTTAACTGCAATGCTGCCCCAAATTTTCAATAATTCAATTGACAAAAAATATCAACTTTAAAAATTTTAACTTAGATGTCTTTTTCCTCACTTTCTGTGCACTTTTATAAGCTAGGTATAACAGACATATTGAATCTTTGTTGCCATTGCCATGGATGGAATTGTGAAATCAGATATTCACCAACATTTCAAAAGAAACTCCTAACCTGTTATGACACTATTCGATCGGAAAAAAGTTCATCATATGTATAATTAGTTCAGATATAACAAAAGAAAATCGAAAAATTCATACTCAAATCACAATAAACTGCATATCAGGCAGTCTGCATCTTCAGTGTATTTGGAACAAAAATAAAAATAATAATTGTAAATTCAACAATGCACCAGTTAAAGAAACAGTAGTAGTAAATTTGGAATAAAAAATTTGAAGTTTTATAGGAGCTATAATGCTTTTCATCACCAGTTTATCTATCATGTTTCAATAGCCTGAATTCAAATAAAAATCCTAAAGTGTCCTTAAAAAGGGAAAAAGATTAGTTGAGTTGAAAAATCACTTGAAATGGTAAAGGAAATCAAAATCCAAAAATCCCAGGACCTAAAAGTAAAAACCAAACCAGATGCAGCTCAAACCCAGAAACCAAACACCCAAACTTCCAAAACTTTATCCAAAAACTTGGAGCAAAAAGAGCTAACCTTTACAATGCATGTTCTGATCAACATGCAAAAGTAGGTCAAGGAACAAACTCTGCTTTAGGGTTCAAGAGCTGAAATGGGTTCATCTTTGAAAAAGAGGATAGAATATTAAGATAAAGCTTTAAAAATAGCAGAAAAATGGGATTTTTCTTCTTTCTTTTTGCTTTGTCTTCATCAGCAAACATACAAAGGACTAAAGCCGCAACTTTGAAACCGTAAGCCTTGCAAAAATAAACTAAATAGTGCTCTACAGTGTAATAGATCCATTAGAGTGTATATTCGCGGTTATTTTTATTCAAAGTGCCTAAATAAATACTCAATAAGATAATTATAATAACAGTAATATTTAATTATAAAAACATCATACTGTATCAAAACATGATCGTTTGTTGGATCAAAAGAGTAGATTAAGAAGAAGAAAAAACATGTTTTGATAAGTAACTGTCCAACAGTTGTTGCATCAAATTTCCAGCATGGTGGAAAAGTTGGGGAAAGTCTAGGGAATACAGCTAGATTTGATTATTTTAAAATTTGGTTACACATATATTAAATTCAGGGTAAATTACACATTTAGTATTTCCAATATTACTTTTATTTCATTTTGTTATTTCAATATTATGCCTGACATGATATTTTGGTTTTACTTTGTTCACTCATTAAAGAATTAATGGTGATGTTGACGTGTTATTATAAGATAGTATCGTTTCATCATTGAATTGTTTTAAAAATATCATGTCAATAGTTATGTTGATTTTTTAACAACGTATGACTAAAATGAAACCAAAACGTAATGTTATGTATGATTTTGAAAAAAAAAATAGTTGAGTGATCAAAATAAAACAAAAGTTTTGAGTGTTAAGCATGTAATTTACCCTTAAATTTAATATAAAAAGAATATATCTATGCTCAATTTGTGATATAGAAAAGTTGGGTTTAATTATTATAAATATACTTTAATTAAAACTGAAATTATATTTAGTATAATGCTTAATTATTTAATTTTAAAACAACAAATTTGGAAAAGAAAATAATAAAACATCTTATGAAGACAATAAATAAATGGGTTAATTCAGGTTATGGATCCAATCCATCTAGGCCCAATTTTGTTTTTCTTACATCAGTATATTTAGGCTGTATTTATCTCTCTAAAAATATTTTCTTTATTTATTTTATGAAAATAATTTATAAATAAATAATATTTTCTTTAAATTAACTAACCTTTATAAAAGAGTAAATCGCTCTCCATAAAATAATTTAATATAAGAAATATGATTTTTTACATTAAAAATTAATATCAATAGAATGGAATATTATTATGCCGATATTTTATTTAATTTCAATTTTTAAAAATGTTAAAATGTTGATCCTAAAATATTATATTTTTTATATTTAATCATCCACTAAATTATTCTTTTATTCTTATTTTTGGAACAATATAGGATATACATTCAAGACAATCAATAAAATATAACGGTGAGTGACTAGTGATAGCCTGATAAACAATTAAGATAACAACATATAGAGATAGATCATTTAGACATTCCCGAACATCAGAAATAAAGGAGGAGAACAGAGAAAGTATCCAAAATGAACAAATGAAAAATCAGTCTCCTCTTAATCGTAGTCCCGTCCTAACATCACGAGAAGAATTAAGAGATGACAAAAGACAAATCGTCGAAAAGAAATCATGACCCAGACGAAGGAAAATATGACCAAAGGATGACATTGTTGGAAGAACGATATCAAGAATCGGGTAGATAGTAAATATTCAATCCACACAATAGACTTATGGTGAACCAAAAAAATCAGTATCTATCAAGGAATCTCAATAGAATTACAGACCAAGAGGAATACCAATGAAAGAAACTTACACCAAAAATCTGAAAGTATAGGTATCCATAACATCTTTTACTAAAGAAAGGATCTAAGAGAAAATATTATTATAAAATAGGCTTAAATATATAAAAGGTGATCAATCTAGGCTCGTTTTTTTAGTTAAGTGCCTAACATTTATTTCGTTACAGTTTAATGCCTAGCGTTTCGTTCAGTTACTCAAAATGGGTCAAGTCGTGACGGACCGTTAGTTTTATCCGTTAAGTGACATGTGTCACAATTTGGTAATTTTAAAATTTTTATATAAAATTAAAAATTTATATATTTTTTAAAATATAAAACACATAAATTTTGAAATAACCTCAAAACTTTGAAAACCTTCATTTCAACCCCAAAACCCAAGTTGACCGCCTACCTTTGCCTTCGACGAAGCTCCACTCGACCTCACCTCACCTCGACGACCAAAATCCCTATGAAATCGTGACTAATCAATGGTTAACTGACAGCGAATCGACGTTTTATATCTAACAAACCCTGGGATGAAAATCTCAATCGATTTTAACGGTCAATCGATGACAACTACGGTGACTTATAACTAGGATGATGGCAAGGACTACGTCAGCGGTGGTGGTCGTGGCCGGAAAGGGAGACGGCGGCAAGTTAGTGTTAGGATTTGAGGATTTTAGGGATTTTGAGGCTTTTTTGTAATCTAAAAGAAATAAGGGATTTGTTTATAAATATAATAATATTTTTAATATTTTTTAAAAAAATAAATTTCAAAATTATCATATTGTGACACGTGTCACTTAACAGAGAAAACTAACGGTCCGTCACGGTTTGACTCATTTTTAGTAACAGAGTGAAACGTTAGACACCAAACTGGAACGAAATAAACATTAGTCACTAAATTAGAAAAACGATATAGGTTAGTCACCTTTTGTATATTTAAATATAACTTGAAAACAACAAAATCAAACAACGAAGAAACTTGTATGTATTAATTTATTTAATCATCATATATGTCAGATAACATTCAAAACTCGCACTAAAATTTATTTTATGATTTATCAAATATAATCATTGATCCTCTTATCTTAAGTTACTAATCCATCGTCCAAAGCGTATCATCTTTATATGCATTATTCAAACTCTTTGCCTATAAAATGTGAAATTGTAATCTACGCAGCAACGGATCCACAGTTATTTGAGGTGGATATGTGTCCATCCTAAAATTTAAATTTTCTTCAGTTAATTATATATTTTACTAATGGTGTCTACCTCAGAGATTTAAATAGCAGTCTGCAATCGCGATAGCGCCCGTTATATAGCAGTAGCGGTTTCCTCCGAAAACGCTATTATTTAACCGCGATGCCCGCAATCACTGCAATAGCGCCTGCTATGCTCAATATATAGAGGCATCAATGCCCTCCAAAAATGCGACCGTGGCCGTGATTTAAATCTTTGATCAACCCTAAAATTTATTTGTGTCCAACCCATTAAAAAAGTTTGTGTTATTAACATATGCGTGTTAACTCTTAAAAATATTTTTAGATCAGTGCTTAATCTACGCATAATATTGAGAACTCATCATATGAATTATTCAAATACATTGTCTATGAGCAAAACTATAATCTACACATAATATTGAGAACTCATTTAAGCATATCATAAACTTAATTATGTTTTATAATAATTCTATTGTTGTGTTAATAATGTATATCAACAAACTAATTATCATATTAGACAATATTTTTGTAAGAACAAGAATCCAATTTGAAATCTGTTAGTTGAAATGAAGTTGACATTCCTTGGAACCCCTTGGGAACATTAATAATTTCTTCAGCACATCAAGCTTTGATTCTAATGGCAGATCTCCATCAGTGAAGATATCCATCATCTTCAGAACTTGAGCATTCCCCAGTATGTATTTCACCATCCTCAGCTGATATGCTACATCTTCAAACCCTTTGAAATCGACTCTTTCCAGGCTCGACAGCAAGCATTCCGGCACATATTTTGGTGGTTTCCAGCGGCATTCAAGCCCAAGTCCACGGCAATTATCATTCTGATGGGAAAAAACCAGCAAAAGAACTATTAACTAGAAGAAACTACGACCCATATCGATATCGTTCGGATTATTCAATTTTCTTGAAATATTCGTGTTAGACATGTACTCGTACTAAAATCGACTCACCTTGGCAAGAACAAGGAGTTGTAAATTATAAGAAATTTCCAAGAAAAGTGACAGCATGTTCCAGCCACCATAACCAACATTTAGCTCTGACCGGACCAGCTTATGAAACAAACGATGTGGTCTGAAATTACGCCATGTCTGAAAGACGAGGAAACAACAAATATATATCAGCAAAAAGGAATTGATCCTGATCCTGATCCTGGTAGCAAAAGTTATGTTAGTAATCATGATAAAGAATTGACCGCGCAGTGCTCACCATTTTTGAATGCCAATCCCAATGTAGGGAAACAGATTTAGCATTGCAGAGAGCTTTGAGAAGTGGGATATGGCGGTTTTCAAGCCATGAGACCGATACATTTGCTTCCACTAAGCTCGAGATCGAATTCCAGGCCGAGATTGTCTTCGAGATTCAAGTACTCAAGAATCGGAGCGTTTATCTTAAGTTGGTGTTTATGTTGGCCGGTGGCGAACCGTATGGACATTATCTTCAATGTCGGGATCGAAATGTTGGAAATCGTTGTGTTGTCACCAACATATATGTGAAGAACAAGTTCCTGAAGAACATGACAATCTGCAAAAATCCTGGAAACGGATTCGTCGTTCCTGTACTTAATCCAGACAAGATGCAAAACCTTGAGACATGGCAAAGATACTGTTCCAGGAACATGGAGCTCAACCTCATTGCTCAGTTTCAAAACCTGCAATGTTTTTGCAGTGAAGAGGACAAATGGAAGCTTCAAGATAGGAAAACTTTGAGTTCCATGGACGGTGATGTCTAGTTCTTTCACATCTCTCGAAACCGCATCCCGAAACCAGGTTTTTACATAGGAAGGATGATCAACCATGTTGAATTCCAGACGGAACTTGTCTAAACAAGCCATTTTGTTAAGGATTAAAACTCGGGTAACGAATTGTCCGAAACGAAGTCGAAGGCTCGAATCTGTTCTGCAGGAACGTGAGTCTTGAAGATCAATGATGGGAACTGAAGTCCATATCGGAAGCCACCGTTTCGATAAAATCGAAGTCGTCATTGCTTCTTTCGTTGGAAGAAATGAGAGTATGTGTTGAATCAGAACATCAGGCAATCGACTGATTCTGTCGAAGCAAACTTCTTTATCTGATGATTTCGAACGCTTTGAGCTGACATCGATTTCTTGACATGGAGAGTTTGCCATTGGAAGTAACAGAGGAAAATGTATGAACGACATTGGACATCACTGTATATATATATATATATATATATATATACACACACACACAGAGAGAGAGAGACAAACACATGATTAATGTTCAATAATCAAATTAGTATTGTATATTGAAAATACAAATGAAAATGGCAATAGAATCTGGTCAGTTCACACTTTACATGCATGCATGCAAAAGGTGAAGCTTTTCTTGTATTTGTTTGTAAGCACAACTTTTAATCTGGTTGTTTGTACAATGATAAGCTCTCCTAAACTTTTAAATTGTTCTAGATCAAAGTTGCTCCTTTTTCTGCTGGAAAATAGTATAAATGAAAGGGTAAATAATCTATTTAGTCATCGAACTATTATCTTATATTTTTTGTCACTTTAATCATCTAAAAACTTAACGTAATTATTAATGTGGACTTTTTCCAATTTTCGAATTTCCAAACCATTTCCCTCTCTTCACATCAACATTTTCATGTGGATTTAAAAGAGTTTCATGATTGTAAATATCACATCGATATCTCTATTAAGATTTTAATGGTCGATGATCAAAATAGAATAAAAATATACCGTTAGTGATTAAAACATAAAATTTAAAAGTTAATTAACTAAAACAGAAATATGATAATAGTTAAGTGACTAAATAAATTGTTTACCCCAAATAAAATCATGATAAAAATATGACTTCTTTGCAAATATTCTCTTTTTTATTTTGACACAAAACATATACTTCTTAACTAACCTGAAACTTGTTTAACCATTTTAATGTCTTTGTGAGATGAAACCAGAATAATTTTTTTGTCTTACCGATTTCAAGACTTCGTCTTGACTAATCTAAACCGACTTGTGTCGTACATCTAGCTTTTGTCAGGGATTTTTTGAATACACAAAGACTCGAACTCAAAACCTTATTTAAACGATATCAAGCTTCTTACCACTTTAACCAACCCTCGTTAGATATTTTAAATGATAACAGAAAACTTACATAATGGAGCTATTTAACCTGTGGATATTATAGATAAACTGAGGAACACTGCTCCAGATAAATACATCACCACTTCACCACAACAATAAATCCAGAATAGTCTCTCTGAAAGGCAGTGTCAAAGGGAAAGAGTTTCTGAAGTTCATACATGGGATAAACCACGAAATCTCACAAACAAATGGCTCACTTCCTAGACTAGGCATCACCATTCATGAACCTACGACCAGCCGAAGTAATAATCGAGAACGTAAACGAGCGCCAACGAAAATGGATAAAGGATGTATGCGATCGAACATGTCCAGAGCGGGAAAGTAGTTCGGAAACTAGCAAAGGCTCCCATGACTATGCAAACAATGAGAATGACCAGCACTTCCGATGAGAAGTCCCATGTCAATCCCCGGACGTAAACAAGTGCCAAGAAAACCGACAGGCAGAGGACGTTATTCATGGTTACTGCTCCGTAAAGCTGCATCGAGAAACTTGGAGATGAGGATTCATAAGCTATAGCTTGATGATCAAACAAGTGGGGTAACAGGAAAACTTACCTCGGAAAATGTTAATGATGCAGTCCTCTGCTTCTTGCGGGTGGCAAAGATAATGGCTGATACAGCTTCACTAGAGTTGGTAGCCAATGGCAATGCGATAAATGAGATGAAGAACGATGGAATACTTGTAGCATCGGAAAAGTTATCGACCGCATCTACGAGTGGATCTGCAAATGCAGCTGCTATCAAGGTACCTAGCAGTAACATTAGTACTGCTTTGAAGGAGATCCACCTTGGGTTTTCGACATGTTCAACAACCTCGTCACTTTGTTCCTCAGACCCCAACAAAGCATGTTCTCTCTTGGTTTCCTGAACATTTGCAGGATAATTCAAAGAATTCAGTTTGAGTTGGTTATAAATATAATCTCTAGAGATGTCGCTAATGCTTTACTTACCTGGTGAAATCGGTCAATAAACTTAAACGTTCCGGCAGTAGGTTCGAGATAAGCACCCCCAGTTTGCTTTGCCTCATTAATCCACTTAGTGATCCCTTTTACAAACTCATCCTCTTGAACAACGGAGTCAAGGGAAGTGTCAAAATCTGCCATTACTTTCCTCACAGCATCATCCTTATCCAAGTCTATCTCTTCAAAACGGATTCCTATAACCAATGCTTTAAGTTCAGAATATGAGAGACTGCCGTTGCCATTCTCATCTATTGCATCGAACAACCTGTTTGAAGTTGTTTAGAGAGTCCGTAAATGTTAAGAGTACATGAAAATTGAAGGAAGTGCCAGCAGAAATGTCAAAAATTCAAAACTAACTTTCTTATAATCTCTGTATTCGGTTCACCGTCCTCTGTAAGAAGCTTTCCAAATGCTTGCTTTTTCAAGTGCCGTAATATTCCTGATATCACATGTTTGTGCTTCACAAACGCTAGTCGTCTTCTCTGGATCCATGGCTGAAAGACCTGCAAATTGCTTATACCATAAGATACAACTACAAGATGAGTAAAAGTTTCGTGAAGTTACTTGTGTTTGACACCCGTGTTTAACGTATATCTGAACATGGGTACAAGGATATCATTATACAAGGACGCTTGAAATACGTGGAAATCTTGAAAAAATTGAACATACTCATGTCAAACACATACTAAAGACATGTAATGGAAAGCCTACCAAGTATCAACACTGTCCGGCAGGCGACAGCATAAAAATAAAGTTGTAAAGCAATAAACTATTGAAACATATAATGATGGAATTCCTTCCTGGAAATCTTTTTTACCTGATAAACACAATAAGAAACCAACATTGATACTGATATGATAAGTGCAATCAGAACAGCTAAATGTCTTCCTGAAGTTGAATTGAGAGCTTGAGGCAGTTGAACAACAACAAATGGGATAACTGATATAGCCATTATCCTTGCAGCATAGCAAGTCCAAATATCTGTACTCACACCAGTCTCTGCAATATTGAACACACTCTAGATTAGCAGATATTCTGCTAATGAAGGTCAGTCACCCCAAGTTTTCCAGTCCAACTCATGAAGTTATTTTCTCTTATGTTACTCCGGTTTTTCATTTTTCTTTAAAGTACCCATTTTGGACACATATAAGGAAATGACATACTCGTATTTGATATATTGTTGTATCTGACACTTACACTCAAATCAGTAATACAGAGCAAGGTCAAATGGACTTGTTGACAGCATAATGCATGTCGCTGTAACTCTTTATTTTCTCTAAAAGTACTTGTGTCTTCCATTTGTATGGGGTATGATACACTAAATATTAGAAGAAGAAAACTTAGAAAAAATTGAGCATGCCAGAGTCACACACATGGCCGTATCATACACTTATCCCCGACTCCGAATCCATTATCTAGATAATAACCTCCTCAACATGCGACAGTTAACTAACTAAGAAAATGTAAAGCAGAGTTGTGCACCTGTTAGGTGAAATCCTTTGGTGTTAGTTCCATCAACTGCAAATGAGTCACGAAGATCACACCTACCAACAACAACACAGGATCCCCATATCACAGTGAGAAGCATGACAGTGGAGCCTGCTAGCAATCCCATTCCAACAGAGACCTGATCCTGAGCAGTTTCTGAGGTTCCAGAAAGTCCAGATACTGGAAACAACAAACCAAATTAAAAACCATTCTGGATTTAAGTAAAACTACCAAGTAAATGAGGCCAGAAGATCATTTAAAGGAACTTATCAGTTCTAAAAGACTAGGGAGTATCAATAAACTAATTGTCCCTATATCATGAAAGAAAGAAAAAACATGTTATGGATCTCATTTGACTTTTGTTTCTTAATTTTTCCCATTAATTTAACTGTTGTTTAGAAATTAGCAGTGTGATTGTTCGTATGCTGTAGTTCATTTTATTTACTTAGTAGTAATAGAATGCTTTTTTTTATCAAAAATTAATAATATATCATGATTTTTTAATATCTATTTTCTTTGTAACAAAAATGTGCCTAACAAAATTAATAATATATCATGATTTTTTTTTATAATCATTGATATTTGATCTATTAGCTAACTAATCCGGATTGTATATTGTAGAGGTCCGATACGAGGATAACCTTCCTAAGTTTATTCCATTCACAACATCAAAATCTGAACAAATAACTTTACTTAAAAAAATCGCTAGACTAACCAGTAGTTTGATTTTCATAGTATTTTTAATTGGTGAGATTAAAATCTTGTTGGAGTTTATATCAAAACCCATTTTTATATTTATTATTATATATATATATTTTTTATAAAATCCAATTCATGACAGAGTAAAAAAAAGGGTTGCTAAAGGTATCTTACAAGAGACATTTGGCAATGGCAGGGAATTAGTAGGTATCAATGATTCTATCCACAGTGGTCCATATGCAAAACGTTTAAAAATCCAAGACCAGATTCTATAAACAACACCCCAAAATAACAATGATATTCCAAATTAGCTGAATTTCTGGGAACCCTAAACTTTGAATCCTCACTGTTAACTAAACTAAAGATCTGGGTGTTTCCAGATTATTTTCAGAGGAAAAAGACAAGATCTAAAGTTTCAGCTTCCCGGCCTTTTGATTCCATTTTCTGATCAACCAACCAACTGAAACTAAAACTATACAGCACTAATACATTTACTCGCCAATCAAACAACCTAACAAAATATTCAAATGAAAAGACTATTTAAAAATTTACCGAGAATAAGCATTGCATCGGGAAGAGCTCCGAGAATAGGCAAGAACAATCCTCCGACGATCCCGGGACCGAGGATCTCAAGCAAAAGCTCACTTCCATTAGACAAGTAAGTAGCAGCTAAAAACATGAGGTATCCATAAACAAGGATCAAAAACAAGTTCCCAACAACCGTGGTGGTACAGGGTAAGAACCCATAGGTTTGTTCACAAGTTTCCTCCGCCGCAACTAGAGGTTTGAGGAGGAGGTAAGGTGGGGTTTTGACGGTGGAGATCCCATCGGAAACGAGATCGGTTGGAGATGAACGGCCGGCGATGAAGCGGGCGTTAGATGGGAAGGAAGAGAAATAGAAGAGGAAGAT